TAAAATCTGAGATAATTTCAGACTGATATCTAAACAATCATCAGAGTTTATCGTAGATTTATTGCTACATTCTGTCGTAAATGTGTAGTACGAGTACGTAAAATCATCAGATTTTTATCGTAGGTATAGTCTTTGATTTTGTCGTATATATAAACAGAATCTAAGAGTAATTATTTTGACACATGTCAACTGTTTTAAATTTTTTTCTCTTTTTAAATATGACCATGTATTTATTCTTTAAGAACCAGAATAGAATTGGCACTGCTTTTACATTAAACATTATTTTTTGCATTTTGAAAAATTTTCCTTTCGTTATCAATTTTAAAACAAAAAAGAAATTTAACACATATACTTTATGAATTTTTTAACATTATTTTTCACTCTCTGTGCACTACCACTCTCTTCAATCTCTCTCTCTCTCTCTATAAAAAGTTTAAAAATCTTTAAATGAGTCACAAAACTAATTTTGCAGACAAAATACCCTAAACGCATTAAATACAATATTTTTTTTTTGTTTCTTTTGATTTTCTATTTATTTTTATACTAGACAAAATATACGATGTAACGGAGAAAATAACCATAAAATTATAAATTTTAAAACCATCATCCCTTTTTTATAATATGTATGAGATCCTGTTATATTTACATAATATTGTTACAATTTTATTCATAGATGTTTTAGATTTTTATTTAAAAGTTTGATGATGTGTGTTCGCTGTTGATGTGGCATTTGGGTTCTCTCCTTATATTTTATTTTCATTTTTATTATTTTCGATATTAAACACAACATATTCACATATATGTACACTCATATGTACACACACATGTGCTGTATAAATTTAAATTTAAATAAACAATAAAATTTTATTTAAGAAATCTGATGTTTCGAAAATTTTTTTTTTACCATAATATTTTTCTAATATTTTTTTCTTATGTTGTTATTATTTTTTGAAATAAAAAAATCAGAATAAACTTTTACTTACATACATATATAATTAAAGAATGGGACCCAGAATTTTAATATTATTAAATTAACACAAGTTATAGTCTTGAGACGAATGTGAGGGAATTTAATGACATTTAACTGTACACAATCATTCCGAATTAATATGTAATTATCATTTCAATTCCTTGCCTTCATTATTATGGTAAAAATACATATTTATGGTAATGGTATATGTGTGCAGACAAAACCATTCCAATATAAAATTTAATATAAGAATAAAAATTAAATCGTATAAGAAAACAAATAAGAAATGGATGAAATGATATTAAAATGAAAATAAAGTTAAATTGTCAAGAAAAAAAAAATTTTAAAGAAGGCAAAATGGTCAAGAAAATGATAAGGAAAATTATTTATAATGTTACCATTTATAACAGGAATGGAAATATGAAAATCGTAAAACTGGTTTAGAGTTGTCCTTCAATCCATTTCCGGGAAATAGGCATAAAGAGAACCCCCTGTCATTTACATGAGATTGAGGCCGGCTCTTCATATAATCAGGATATAAAAATTGACGGAACACAATTATATTACTAATATTAGAGATTGACAAAACGGATATTAAAGATTTGCATAGTTTTTTCAAAAGAAGTGAGTGTTTTAGATAATTAACTTACAATCATACAAAATTATTCACTAAAATAACTTTTATAATACGCATTAAACTTTTACCATCCTAACCTTCGAAAGTCGTGAAAATAAAATTTATTTTAGCCGGAACTGAAAATGTGCGACTGATTCGAAAATTATTCTTAGTATTGAACAGACCAAACAATTTCTTTTTTGTTTTGTTATAATTTTTTCTACATGATTTGCATATAAAAATTATTTTTGATTTTTATTTTTTTTTGCTGTCATTCGGGTAATAAGATGTTTTTAATTTGCAATAAAATAAAAATAAGGAATACCAACAACATCTTTCATATTGTTCTCATTTTATTTTTAATTTTTTATGACCAAAAACGGAATAAAAATTTTATTAAAAATATTTTTTCATACTTTTATAATTCGTTATTAATTTTGTTAAATTGTATGTAATAAGAGTAAGAATATCATTTATTTTTTTATTACACAATGTGTGTACACCTGGTACTCCAGCTTACGATGTCAACTAGTACTTTAAATAATGTTCGAATATTAGTAATAGCTCTAAAAAAAACTTGAATTGATTTGTAAACCCGTGAGCAATCTCACCTGGTTCTTACCCATTCGGACAGTTGATGCTACAATTAAATGACAACTCGTTAATTCATTATATGTATTTAAAAAAATTAATAGTTTTTAAATAATATTAGCTTTTTTATCAAACGGCTCCTCTTGCATTAATGGATAGTATTAGTTTCTTTTTCCCTTGCCTACAAACACATTCGTAATTTGTCGTTTAATCGTACAGCTATTCATAATGGAATATAACCAATTAGATGTCAAATTTTAAAATAAATTCGAGAAAGAATACTTCATGCTTTTTTCAACACTGCACGTTCGGAATTGGAAATTTAAATCTAATTGCAGCGTGGCAATTTTAGTATAGTTTGTTGGCAACCATATGCTGCTTTTATTTGAATTTCTGGAACAATAAATAATATTTTTATTTATTTTCTGAAAATTGTAAACGGTTTTAAAATAAAAACTTTTTAATGCTCTTTAAATTTTAGTTTTTTTTAAAAAGTGCCGAATTTCTTTTTATACATTTAATGTTTTCTTTAAGTTTCCTTTAACTTTTTATGCTTCTTAATCGTAAAAGAAGAAACGAAAAAGAAATCACTTTTTTTTCTATATAACAACGAAAAACTGCTCATAAAAGTTGCAAAAAAACTCTATATATGTGTGATATATGGCGAGTTAGTAAAAAACTTTATTCACACAATTTACGTAAGAATCTATGGAAAGCAAGTTACATTTTTTTTTTGTTTTCTCCAAATCTGATCAAAATACTTTACCATTGCAATTATATAAGCTCTTAACTGTTTTTTCTTATTTTCTTTTACTATACTATACGTAAAATATTATACTTAGCCTGAGGTTGTGTGGTTCATAAAAATATTTATGATTTATAGTGTTCTTGATTCCTAAACGGAAAATGTTATGTAAATAACACGTAAAAAGTTACCTTAGACTTATTTAACATTTTATGTCATAGATTATGTATTTCTGAAATTTCTTCAATATACGGAAAATAACAAGGGTTCAGAGCTCTTTAACGAAACCTTTTAAATTCAAAAATATTTTTTAAATTATAAAACTGAACTGTGTAGTAGATAAAGCCGCGGCAATACTGTGTAATTTGAGTTGTGAGCTGTACTTTAATTTCATGTCGTAATGTCGAACAATCTGTCAAATTATTTTCTTCACTTCTTAAAGTAGTAGCTTTATTCAATGGTTTCTTAATTTCAGTTTGCAACTAGCTATGGCTTAAGATAAAGTTTTAAACGTGAGTCGTCTAACCTACTTTAATCCTAAATATGTTGCTTACACCTGGTATACTAGTTTAACTTAAAAGCTATTACCAAGTGAGTTTTATATTCCGATATTTCCTAGTAATTTTGACGAAATGGCCAAATTATTCACTTGACTAAAAATAAATGTAGTAAATCATGGCAGGCTACTAGATTTTCTTGAAGATTTGGGTATGAAATAAAAGAAAATTTCGGTATAAATACTTGACTATAAATAAATTAATTCTAGACAACTCCTAAAATCATATAAAAAGTTTAAAAGAAAAACACTGCTTCCGTTAACCAGATCCAAGATTTGGTTGGCAAACAAATTGAACGGCATTTCAATTTTTTTTGTCTTAACCACTTCTAACTTAATTCGTTATTAGCAACTTAAATTTTAATTGCTCAAGCAAAGTAAGAGACAAACTTTCGGAGAACAAGACCTTATATTTCCGCCCCATTAAATTTTAACTTTTTTATAAAAGAAAATTTTAATTTTTAACAAAAATATTATTTATTTATTTGATTTTTATAAATTATAAAATTAAATTTTATCTATACTTTCTTCAATGGCATAACCAAAAAGAATCACTTACAAATTGTTAAAAAAAAAAAAGTTTTTCTTGTCTTCCTTTATTAATGAGTTTTTAATTTAAAAACTTTAATTTAAATGTGTTTTATTACAATCTTTGCTTTTAAAACTTAAATACTCGTATTACAAAAAAAATGTAAAAAAAAAACAAAGTAAATTGTAAAAACAAATATATCAGGCCAGTAGAAAAAAAAATTATTGGAACAAGAGGTGGTGTTTCTCGGTTTTATCGATTTTTATAATGTTAAATATTAAATGGAGTACCATTGCTCCATGAATTCGAAGTCTATTGCCATGACTACCCAAATCTGTTTATACCTAAATGACATATTTCAGTTTAAACATAAATTTTAATTATTAATGTAGATTTTAAAGTTTAAATATTTTAATTTATAAATTTATCAAATAAATAAAATATTTAATTCAAATTGAATTGCAAGTGAACCCGATCGAATTTTGAGCAATTTTATTTAATAATTACGGAATTATTATAGAAAACTAGAGGCCAAAAATTTAAAATTTTCTGTTAACAGAACAAAATTATCAAAATGCAACACACTCAAAAGTCTTGTGTGTTCTGGGATACAATTTGGCATATTGAGTTTCAGCTTGATTCGGATTCGATTTCGATAAGTGTCAATAGAACCCACACAACATTACTATAACATTTCAACATTTCAGTTAAAATTTCGCACTTATCTGAAATGCGATATAGTCTTACCCAAACGTAAACACTGTGCACCAATTTCACTCTATAAAGTAGAATATTTATATAAAAACTGAAAAAAATTACATTTCCTTTTGAAATATAAGTTTTTTGCAGGAAATTTGAAAAATTCTTTCAAGTATTTTCAATATTTTTCTTATACGCTTATTGTGTTTTTACAGTTTTTATTAAAACATATTGCATTTTATACTTAATAAAAAAAAAAATTAACAATTTTTTTTTTTCTCTTTTTCATTACAGATTTGCAATGGACTTAAAATCCGGTACATTGCTAGTACCGCCAGCTGTAAAAAATTCTAGTTGTTCACATCCTAGATATACAGGACACAGTTTTATATCACAAATCGGATTAGCTGAAACAATTGAAGCATTTTTAATTTTTGTATTAACATTAGGTGTAATTGGTGCTAATATATTAGTTATATTTGTAATAAATAATCGTAGATATTCACAATATATACATCAACAGGTAAGAATATTAAATTAATTTTTTATTATAGTAATAAAGTTGATAATAAGTTCGAAAATATTAAATTTAAAATAGTACTCAATTTAATTCTTAATGTGAGATTGATAATTTCGAGAAATTTTCTTTAACCAATCAGAAAGATAATTTGACTTCCAAGGGTGCGTTGTTTTACATCTTGGCTTCAAAATCGTTCACTAGCTCAATATATATTATCACAACATTTAACTAAATCAAATTTCAAATTCTAAAAGTTTAAATATTCTTTATAAATACATCTTTCAATGCAATTAATTAAGAATTAAAATTTGTGAATATTAATTTTTTGTCTATATACTCGTATAATCATTTTTATAGACACAAACAACACATTTTAATAATTTGCAAATTAAAAATAATGCATTGTTTTTGACAGTGAATTTCTTTTAATACCGAAACTTTATACGCCAACATATAGAATCTTTGAACCATGTAACCCTAATGCATTTACTCACACTCATGTATGTATGTAAATTTTATTATACTGCAGCTTAGTCACATAAATCTCATTGAAAGGATTTTATTTTTGCATTTAGTGGCTGCGTTTCATTTTACGTATACACAATAATCTTATACATACATATAAAAAAGCTAGTTTATTGTCTGTCTCCGAACAAAGCACAATGCGAGAAGTGTTTTGTAGAAGAGTATAACAATATTATATTATATAAGACTAATATGTAATTTCTAAGGGCATAACCATGGAATCAAAATATAAAATCATTTTCTAAAACAACATTATCATATTTCTACATGGAACATGATTTATAACATTTTTGTGTGTAAGCAAATATTATTGTATACTCTATATGGTACTTATGTAATATTTGAGTAAGTTAATTTGTATATTCTTAAAAAATCTTCAAAATAAAAATAATATTTAAAATTTTTCCATATAGCTATTTTTGTGATGATTTTCAATGAAGAATATTTTTTCTTTCATATAAGAAATTTGGTCCTTTATTTTTTTATTTAAGAAACCTTATAAAAAATCTTCTTAAGGATTTGTTATGACTTATAGAGACGACCCAATTACACAGTCTAATAATAAATAAATTATTTTGGAAATGTAATAAAAATATATAATATTATTCAGAGACGATATTGTAATTTTACATTATCGTTTACAGTTGATACGAATGTAGAGTTCATCGTTTTAAGTCTTTACTTTATGTTAGAGTTTTGAAGAAACTACTTTCTATATTTGACTCAACAGTTCATTGTAGTGTGTACTTCTACGTCCAAGTAGATACGCCAGCATTCATAAATATTTCAGCACTTACCATGTTGTTTATTCATACGCAATATACTCTATTTGATAGGCACCTTCTAAGCGGTGCCTCGAATACCAAAATCTTCAAGAAAATGTAGTAGCTTGCTATGATTTACTACATAGAATGCTTTCCATAGATCAATGAATATTTCCGCAACATAGAGCATTTCGTTCATTTCGTCAAAGCCAATCATTGTAGAATCAACGAAAGTTCGAATACGTTTCTTGACAGTTATATATTTTACTAATTGAGGTAAGCAGTTATACGTATTGACCTATAGTTACCAAAGTCTGTTTGTGCTAGACCTTTGTGAATCGGTACAATTGTGATCTTTTTTAACTATTCTAGGTAGACTTTGTTAGTAAGTTATGAATTTGCCATATTACATAACAAAGGCTTATTAATAACATTTTGTTTACTAGTATTCCATTCAACCTCCAAGCGGTATTCTTATTAAGATACAAAGAGCAATGTTGGTTATTCTTTGTATTATACTTTGCATGAAACTGGAACTATTTTGGTTTACAATATATTCCAATACGTGTGAGGTTTAAGAAAGATTTTAACTCATGTCCTGTTAATTCACCACTCACAAAAGTAATTTTATGATCAGATATGTCATTGTATTTGGTGAGATGCTGTTTGTCTTTTGCTACACGTTTTGTTTGTAAAACTGTACCCAGAAATTTGATTACTGTGCTTGTTTTTCCCAATATAACTATATTAACATCAGCAAAGGAAATTCATTGTGCAATAACTAATCCATTTTCGTTTCTGAGTATTCAATAAAATGTGCAGTCTTAATTTTAACTTTAAGCTGTGTGTTCAAGATTTCAATAACAGTAAAATTATATTTTCCATTTTTTTTTTCAATTTCATTCTATCTTAACTTGTCGCTCACAAAAATTGCAGTACCAACAACTCTCCTTTTACTTCTACATTTCATTTTCAAAGCACGTGTTTTACAATCACTTTTACAATTTTCATAAATTAAAATGTTTTAAAGCAATTCTAGTTATAACGTATACATTTGCAAATAAATCGTATACTATAAACAATTCGAATTTTGTTCTATTACTTCATAGTTAAAGAATTTTCATGTTATCAATAAATTTTCAAATTCAATTATTTGCAATTTTAGTGAAAATATTCTAAAAAAAAATGCTACCTATATTAGTGTTCGAAATTTCATTCCTATACTTGAATTTTGTTCCATATTGCCTTCCTCGCTCCCAGTCCAAATTTCCAAAGGTATAGGTAGGTGTGTACAACTGTGTGAACTTTATTCATTGAAAATAAGTTTTAATCCAGATAATCAAAAAAGCGGAAAATTGTTTTTTCTGCAGTTTTTTAAATTGCGGTTCTACTAACATTTTTAACACCTTTTTGTATAAATCAGAACAAAACAATTCTAAAATAACGTGGTTTAAACGTGTAAGTCTATGAAATAGGAAATTCAATTCAAAAAAAATTTTTTTAAACAATACATGCAAAACAATGAAATCAATTTGAAAAAAATAAATACAAAGTTGTATTGAAACAATATCGTAAATGTGGTTGTAATTAAGTGTAATTTAAATTTATAACATAAAATTAAAATGACGTAATACAATGTTTTTACCGTTACTGAACAATAAGTAAAATTTGTTCTAAATGCAAAATTTTGTAATTGTATAGAGTTTTTTGCAATACTTTTACATACTCGTAATGTCAGTTTATAACTCTGTTTTAATATTCTATTCTGTACTGCATAATAATAAATTAGGTGGCGTTGTACTTCTATTATGCAATCTGCCATGTAGAAATTTTCTATTAAAGTCACGTCCTATATTAACGACAGGTTGTAATTTATTTAAAATTAAATGTTCCACTTAATAATTTTTTTAAAAGGCTGCTTTTCATTTATGTGCGATGCATATTTTTCTTTTTAAGAAAATATTTATGCATTTTAAATAAACTATATGTGTTGAACAAACGTATTCTTTCAAAAATATTGTAGTTTAATTTATGTAACAAATACTATTGCAATTTATTAATTTTTAAAAGTTAAATCAGCCGGAACGCTCTAGGTTAGGCTAGTTTAGGCTGTCGCGGCTCTCCGATGGGTACACACTGGCCAACTAGGCCCGTTGTGGTACCGTCGGATCTCTTCCCTTCCGCTCCTCATCTGAACCAGCCGAATCCCCCAAAAATCGGTTCAAATTCCTAACGCTTCCATTTGCTAAGTACGTAGCGTTCCCGAAGAAGTAAGATCCAAGGAATCTCTGCCTGGAGTTCGCCAGTGCCGAACAAGAGCATAGAAGATGGGTTACCGTTTCCTCCTCTCCTTTCTCACAGCAACTCCTACAAAGCTCGTTTGCGGAGCGACCCATTGTAGATTGTAGATTCTAAGGAAACCGAGTGGGACAGGAGTAACCCCCCAAGCCACCGCAGCCATTTTTTACTTATTGTAGCCCCACCACTCTCCCGTCTATAATATCCCCGTCCCAACCACAAAGCCGGAGATATCCCTAAGGGAGTTGGACAACAGTTCCCGAACACTTAGGGACCCATGTCCAAGACAATTGCGGCGCCGAATAGCCAGCGCCGGACAGTCGCAAAGAATGTGCACGGCGGTCTCATCGCCACCCCCTCAAAATCTGCACAGGGAGGAGCCCGACTTCCCCAGCCTATGCAGGTGATACTTCACTGGGCAGTGCCCCGTGAAGAAATTCGCAATAGTGCGAACCCGGCTCCTGCTCATCCCCAGCAACTCTGCGGTGAATCCGCTGGAGCACGCCGAAAGAAACACTTTCGCATGACGGCTCCCTTTCGTGTCCCGCCAGTGACGGCCGCATTCCGCCCCGAGCAGGCAGTCAAGCCTGGCCCCCACGGCGGAAGAAGGCAGACCGCAGAAAGGCAGCGGCTGCACAAAGTCAGTCCCAGATCCCTCCGCGCCAGCCCATTGGCAACTTCGTTGCCCGGTTGGTCAATATGGCCCGGCACCCAAATGAGCGTCACTCTGTTCTCCGATGCCAATTCCATAAGTGCAGCAAGGCAGCTCCAGACCAGCTTGGATGAAACCTGAGCTGAACGAAGCGCCAGCAGTGCAGCCCTGCTGTCCAAGAACACATAGATGGTGCGGTTTCTGTACCCCCTTTCTAAATTGATTCTCAGACAGATCTCCATTACATGTATTTCGGCCTGGAACACTGTGCAATACGGATCAAGGGTTGCATATACACGCGTACCCGCGCGGAGACCGTATACGCCCGAACCCACACCCGACTCCGTTTTGAACCCATCCGCATAGCACACGCTCGAACTCGACCTAAGTACCGGGCCACCCCGATCCCACGTCCATCGATCGGGAAACAGAACCCTGTACCTATGGTCGAAGTTGTACCGCGGCAGACAGGTATCCGACATGGTTATTTTTAGAATCGGATTGCTCTCAATGAAGTCTCTGTGAGTTTTGTGGGCCAACTTTAGCTCTGCCCCGTCCACGCCAGAGAGAAGTCGGTAAGTCACTAGCCGAGCTTCCTTCAATATATGGAGGTGCAGTGGCGGCACCTCCAATGCAGCGGTGGGAGCCGTCCGCATTGCTCCGGTCACTCCCAGACAGACCAGCCTCTGTAGCTTTTCCAGCTTGGCCCGCACACCCGCCTGCTGAGCCTTACGGCACCATAAAATCGACGCATAGGTGACGAT